CACATTATGTTTCCACTTCTTCCATCCTTCTAAGCCATGTTTGATCTTATCTGGACCGTTGTAACAGACTCCTGATGAATTCCCGTGTTCTCATTCTTTCTCTTCTACAATCAGTTCATCATATGGCAGGCAGAACAAATGAAATTATAAAATTTTCTGTTTGAAACCATCCAAAGAAGGCAGGCACAGTGGTGTGGCCCTGTAGTCTCAGCTACTCAGGAGGTTAAGATGGAAGGATTGCTTGAGCCCAGGAGTTAGAAGCTAGCCTGAACAACATAGTGAAACCCCTACCTCTAAAAAAAAGCAAAAACCAAAACAAACCCAACCAAAAAACTCCCAATAAAAACAACTAAAAACATCCAAAAGCTTTCCACTATACCCCCTGGTTTACAAAGCCCTACACAGTTGTCTCTTGGTATCTGTGGAAGATTGGGTCCAGGATGTCCCAAGGATACTAAATCCCATGGATGCTCAAGCCCCTGATATATAATGGCATATTTGTATATAACCCATGCCTGACTTCCTGTATACTTCAAATCATCTCTAGATTCCTTATAATACCTAATACAATGTTAATGCAATATAAACTGTTATACTGTATTGTTTAGGGAATAATAATAAGGAAAAAAGTTTGTAGATGTTCAGTACAGATACAGACACAATAGTCTTTAAAAAATATTTTTTATCCATGGTTGGTTGAATCCACTGATGCAAAGCTCATGGATATAGAGGACCAACTGTAAATAATCTGACCTCACCTGGCTCTCTAATTTTATCTTATACAATTTTTCCTACCCTTCACTATACTCCAGACACACTAGTATTGTTTCTCAAAATGACCATTTCATTTTCTTCTAGGGTCTTTGGGCTAGTTGTTTCTCCTGTCTGGAATGTTCTTTCCACTGATTTTCACATATTAAGAAGATTCTTGGCGTTACCATGCAACTTACATGTTACCTCATCTGCAAAACCTTCCACAAACATCATTTTCTCATTAGAAATATTTTCACAAAGCACCTACTACATGCCAACATTGTTCTATATACTGGGAGAAAAGTACTCAACCTCATTATCAATCAGGGAAATGCATATTAAAACTATAATGAGAAATCTCTTTATAGTCACAGAATGGCTAAAATAAAAAAGACTGACAATTCCACATGTTGATGAGGATGCAGAATAGTAAGAACTTTCTTTACTGTTTACAGACAGTATAAACTGGCATAAATCACTAAAGCAATGTTCTTAACAGACCAAACTGGAAATAATCCAAATGTTCATTAACACATCACGGTATATTTATACAAAGGAAAACGGTACAGTGATGAAAATGAACAACGTACAGCTACACTTTAAAATGACACAGTAAAATCTCACAAACAATGTTGAGCAAAAGAAGCAAGACATACATACTGCAGGCTGGGCACAGTGGCTGGTGCCTGTAATCCTAGCACTTTGGGATGCCAAGGTGGGTGGATCACCTGAGGTCAAGAGCTCAAGACCAATCTGACCAACAAGGAGAAACCTCGTCTCTACTAAAAATACAAAAATTGGCCAGGCGTGGTGGTGCATGCCTGTAATCCCAGCTACTCAGGAGGCTGAGGCAGAAGAATCACATGAACCTGGGAGGCGGAGGTTGCAGTGAGCCAAGATCGCACCATTGCACTCTAGCCTGGGTAACAAGAACAAGACTTGTCTCAAAAAAAAAAAAAAAAAAAAAAAAAAAAAAAAAAAAAAAAATATAAAAAAAAAAAAAAAAAAAAAAAAAAAAGAATACATACTGCAAAAAGCCATTTATATAAAGTTCAAAACCTTAAACTACTGTATTAGAAGTCTGAGATCTGGTTACCTTTGAGGAGAAGGGAGAGAACCGGGGTTGAAAGAGTATAAACAGGGCTTTGGGTCTATTTCTTGGACCTGGGTAGTACCTACATGAGTAAGATCATTTTGTCACAATTTATTGAGCTTTTGACTTGGACACTTCTCTGTATGTTATGCTGCTATACAAAACTTTTTTTTTTTGAGACAGGGTCTCTCACTGTGTCACCTAGGCTGGAGTACAATGGTGTGATCAAGGTTCACTGCAGCCTTGACCTCCTGGACTCAAGCAAGCCTCCTGCCTCGGCCACCAGAGTAGATGGGACCACAGACACATGCCACCACACCTGTTTTTTATTTTTTTTAAATAGAGACTGGGTCTCCCTACGTTGCTCAGGCTGGTCTTGAACTCCCAGGCTCAGGTGACTCTCTGACCTTGGTCCCCCCAAAATGCTGGTATCACAGGCATGAGCCATTGCCCAGTCTACATACTTTTTTTTTTTTTTAACTTCTGTTCTTTAAATTATTTAACTTTTATCATTATGAAGTCATTCTATTCCAGAATGTTAAGGATAATAACCAGGGAACTCATACTAGGTCTCCTTTGAGGAAGCAATGGATAAACTGTTATTTAATCTTAGTATCAGGAATAGTGTGGCTCTTCTAGCTAACTGGTCTATTCTCATCATTTCATGAAATGAATCTACATTTCAGTGTAGACACTCTGAAATGTTTAAGTGACCAGGTTTTCTTTTGCGCTAAAAGCCTCTGAGCCAAATCTGAGACCCACTTATAGGAAATAGGTATTTTTATGGTATGCATTTTTATAATGGTCTTATTCAAGCTTCCATATTATATTCCTACAGGTTTTTTTCTTTTTTCTCCCAAAATTATAGATTGTTATTTGTAGCAGTTGCAAATTTCCTTAATTCCATCTGCAATGAGGAAGGATATTAATAAATAAAAATGCTTTAAAGGTTTTTTTTTCTTTCTTTTTTAAAAAGAAGCAGTTGTTTGGTTTCTATTCTTCAATTTGCACAATCTAGCTTTTAATTTTAACAGTAGAAAATTCTATCCTGTTGATTAATTTTCTTTTCATGTTTGTATAAGGTAAGACTCCTTTCTTAGGCCACACATAAAAAAACTGACATTAGCCGGGCGCGGTGGCTCAAGCCTGTAATCCCAGCACTTTGGGAGGCCGAGGCGGGTGCATCACGAGGTCAAGAGATCGAGACCATCCTGGTCAACATGGTGAAACCCCGTCTCTACTA